AATAGGACTAGTCCTACCTACTCAATAAAACTGTGTAGAAATGTTTGTGATGGTAAGTTGCAGTGCTTTGTTGATTGCCCTGTCTCTGCACTCTGCATTATGCCTCTTCTCCTAGAATGAGTTAGATTAATCTCATCCGGAAATATGAACTATATGTTTCGAGATTAGGGAGACTTATTGACATGTGTGGTGTCTGTGCGCTGTTGGACTAATCAACCAGCTTCCGGCCTTCAATGCTCGTTTTACAGTCTAAGATGATTGCCAATGATAGATCTGGTGTGATAATTTTTATCATATATGTCAAAGTGTGGAAATCATGCAGGTTGTCACATATCAGTTAGATAGCCAAAAGAAAATTTATGATACTCTGTCCGTATAGTTCCATAAACACAGCAAGAATAAGACAGTGGACAGACACCTATGAGGTCCACCCCTGGGAATAGGCATTTCAGTCCTCCATTCCTTTTCTAATGCTTTTCCATCTTTCACAGCAAGACGCCAATGATCTACTCCAGGTGTATATTGATTCTCCTTGCTACCACCCATTCCATGAAGTCTACCTCTCCAAAGTTGAGTTGCTGGTGCGAACCTGAAAATTACTGAGTTAAAACCATTCAATCTACCCTTGAACTACAGAAGAAAAATTATACGATTTGTTTTGAGTTAAAACCATTCCTAGATGTGAATGTGCCATTTCTTTTGGCATATGAAATCTTCCTCCCCATGTATTATCACTGAAATTGTAGATATCAACATGTGAATGTACCTAAAGTAGAAAGGACAGCCCATTAACATAAGAAGGGAGAGTGAATCTTTTCAGTTTTGGTGAACGAGTGAATATAATAAAACATGTTTATCATAGTTCCGCATAAGCAGTAGGATCTGATCTATCCCCAGCAGTTGAGTTGAGGCCCAATTCATTGATGTCACCAGTCATGAAGCAGTTTGTGATTTTCCTCCCAGAACCCATAAAAACACACCCTTTTCAACCCATCTAATCTCACTTTTTAAGTACAGGATTCCAAAAATTTAAAGAACAAAGATGACCCTGAGCAGTTTGTACTACAATCTCCAATTTTCCTTGATAGCTGCTCCTAGCAATTCCTAATCCACTTGCAACACAAACATCTTCTTTTAAATCTTGATATCCCTATCCAATTCTCTGCATGCTCTATAGAATAGAAGCCCTTCTCTCTCGTGTAGCAGTTTGTGATACAACCACCTCTTCAACAAATTCATTGGTGCTGGTGGTATATAGACTGCAAGTATACAATTAATCAAACACTTAGTCAACAACACGATCAAAAATTCAAAACCATACCAAAACAAGGCAAAAAGAGAGAAATTTGATTGCAATTAGTAGTTACCAAAGGAATTGAGGCTGTTGAGCAGTAACAGAGGAGGGCTCCAATAAGTATTTAACTTAAGAATTGGCTACATATACAGCGTATAGCCGAGCGGATATACTTTTCAAGTATATTTTTTTGGTTAAGGAGTATAGCCGCGCGGCTATACTCCTTAAATACGGCTATACTCCTTAAATATATTCTTCAATTTAAAGCGTACGACCGAGCGGCTATACTCTTTCAATACATATTTTTATTTAAGGGGTACGGCCGCTCGGCTATACTTCTTCAATATATTTTTTTATTTAAGAAGTATGGCCGTGCGGCTATTCGCTTTCAATATATATTTTTATTTAAGGAGTGCAGCTGAACGGCTCTACGGTTTAAATATATATTTTTTAGGGTTATTCGCAGCAATGATCCATCAATTATACCCCAAGTTACACTTTGGTCACTCAACTCAAATATTAGTTGCAGAGGTCACTCAATTATGTGTTTTATTGCACCGTTAGTCCTATTGTCAAGTCTGTTACTTTTTCTGTTTAAAATGATGACGTGGCAAGCATCTCTTAGATTATTGATGGGCAAATGTGACTTGATGAGCACATAAACTATCACATTTATTATCCCTAAATATATTTGTTAGTAAGTGATTTTCTTACAATTTTAGTTAATTAGTTTTTTTTTTTTGTTATCCCTAAATTTAAATTGTTAGTGCTTTAGTTAATTTTGTTTAAAGTCTTTTTATTCTTCTTTTTAGGTGGAGCTTCCAAACAATTAAATGCAATTGGAAGTTGTTAGTAAACAAATAAATGAATGAAGAAGTGGTGATGGCATTGATACAAATAAAACAAAAACATGAAGTATGGCCAGCCACTAGCAAGCAATTACAAGCACATGCTCGTTGAAGTGTGGCAGCCAAACTAATAAGGATGAAGATTTGGAGGGTGCTGCCAGCACTAGAGTGAAATAAACAAAGAAAGTGGAGTCATCAACACAAGTAATGGAAGCATTTGATGGCAATTGACGGGTGAAACACTTGGTAGTAGCAAGGTGGAATAATAGTTTAATCAAAGCAAGTTGCAACATGAGCAATTCCCATTCTCTATAAATAGAGTGTTGCCATAGAAGGAAAATACACCAAGCTCACAATCTTCTCTTGAGCTCTCTCTCCTTCCTCCATATCTTTCTAAGTTTTAATTTCTATTTTTAGTTTTATTTTATGGGGAACTAACTCCCTAGCTAAGGCTAGGGAGAAAGCTTTTAATATAAGTGTGTAATTTTTATTAGTTTGATCCAAACTTAAGTTTTAATGTGAATTTGTAGTTTTTGTTCAATGGAATTTGTAGTTTTCTTTTTAATTAATTGATGAATGTTTGATAATCTATTTCATGGGTTCAATCATGTTTTTCCCATTGTGTAGTAAAAACTTTCATGCTTTTAAAAGAGAAGAGAATTACTAAAGATTAATAGAATTTTGATGAAGATTATTTTTTGATAGTTTGTTGCCAATGGTACAAGTTATGTTTAGAATACTTCTAAAGGAAATTAAAAAGGGCTTTAATTATTTTGAACAACTACAAAGGAAAATATTTTGTGGATCAAATTATTAAGAGTTGCATGCTTATGTTAAAAGTGGAAACCCAATGCCTTAGTGTTTTAATCAATTAAATTTTCTCTAAATCAAATCTTGCATAAATCAACCTCTCAATCACACTTGTTCTTTTTCATCTCTGTTATTTTCTTTACACTGCTCTCTGTGGATACGACACTCGGACTTCCGAGCTACACTGCTATACGACACCTCCCTTGGGTTTTGCGAAGTGGTGCGAACATGACTTTTCAGTTAAGATTATTTGTAGCAATGATCTCTCAACTATACTCAGAGTTATATTTTGGTCCCTCAATTAAGTGTTGTGTTGCACCATTAGTCTCTACTGTTAGAGATACTTGACGGTAGGACTAACGGTGCAACAAAACACCTAATTGAGTGACCTCTGCAACTAATATTTGAGTTGAGTGATCGAAGTGTAACTTGAGGTATAGTTGAGGGACCATTGCTGCGAATAATCCTATTTTTTAATTTCAGGCGTATAGCTGCGCGGCTCTAAGCTTTAAATATATTTTTTAATTTAAGGAGTATAGCCGATCGGCTATAGGCTTTAAATATATATTTTTTAAGACGTATAGCCTCCCGGCTATACTATTTAAATATATATATTTTATTTAACTCAAATAAAACATTCAAAGCAGGAAGGCAAATAAACCAGAAACAAATATATTAGCAAAATTCAAATAGCAACATGTATCTGCTTTTAGATGCCTTTTTATTTATTTTTCAAGGGTTATTCGCAGCAATGGTCCCTCAACTATACCCGTAGTTACACTTTGGTCCATCAATTCAATTATTAGTTGCGGGGGTCACTCAACTCTGTGTTCCGTTGCACCAGTAGTCCTTCCGTCAAGTCTGTTAGTTTTTTCCGTTTAAAATGATGACGTGGCAAGCATCTGTGAGAATCTCATAGATTCGTGAGGGGCAAATCTGACTTTTCAGTTAGCCTTCTTCACCTTAGCAGCCTCCAACCCTGCCATCGTAACCTCCAATCTCCCCCACCTTAGCCGCCTCCAAGCCTTCAGACCCAGCTCAGTCGTTCAAGGGCTAGTCTGCAGTTTTCGTGTTGTGCTCATTCTGCAGTTTTCAATTTGGGGGTTTGTTTCACTCCCGACACCTGACAAATTCTCCACCGTCAGATTCCATCTCAACAAGCACAGATCCAAACCCATTGGTGTAGAACAATGGCGAAACCCACAAAGCTCAACTTCATTGTCGACCTCCAGATGCAATCTTAATAGCCAAGCCACCAGGTTCTGCAGAAAAGACCCAAGAAGAGCTCTTGCTCTTCCGCTTCTTATAGTCCCAACAGAAGAACAAATCACAAAAGAAAGGCCCAAAATAAAAAAGAAATGAAGGGATTGAAATGGGAATTTAGGTGGAAATCAAAAGACCCAAAACCAGACATAGAGAATCATCAATTACGAGGCATGAAACAATCATCAATTAACCAAGTTCATTCCAAGAAAGGGTAAACAAACCTTTTTGATTGAGTGCTTGAGATTGATTTGCAAGAAACAAAAGAGAAAAGAAACTTTGAGAGCTGAGAGAGAGAGAGCGAAGAGGGAGCTGAGAGAGAGAGCGAAGAGAGAGTTGAGAGAGAAAAGAAAAAAGTGATAAAAAGTGTTCATTAGGCAATAAGACAGTATTTATAGATAGTATTTGATAAATGATTATAAGGTGGGTAGTTTTTGGTTATTTATTATTTGATTCTTGTGGATGAATTTCCGAATTTACCCTCACTTTTGACAGAAAATTTACCAGACTTGACGGAAGGACTGCTGGTGCAACGAAACACAGAGTTGAGTGACCCCGGCAACTAATAATTGAATTGATGGACCAAAGTGTAACTACGGGTATAGTTGAGGGACCATTGCTGCGAATAACCCATTTTTCAAACAAGCTTCTATCTAATTACAGGCCTTCATCAGGGAGCTCGAGCAGTTGTTTACCTCCTCAGAGCAAATACATTTGGCGGGCACTTTCTAATCATGCACACTACAATACAGCATTATTTTTACTCAACTTAATTTGTCAATGGCATGGGGAGAGACCCCACGCTGTGGGATGCACCAGATGAGCTTAGGCCTGAGAGGTTCTTAGGGAAGGCAATTGATGTGAAGGGACAGAGTTTTGAGTTCTTTCCATTTGGCTCAGGAAGGAGGATGTGCCCTGGTTATAGTCTTGGACTGAAAGTGATAAGGTCTTGCTTGGCCAACATGTTGCTTGGGTTCAATTGGAAATTGTCTGAGAATGTGAGAAAAGAAGATTTGGGCATGGAGGAAGTTTATGGATTGTTAACACCTCGGAAGTTCCCACTTGTTGCCGTAGTTGAACCTCGGCTACAAATCCATCTTTACTAGTGATATTGAATGTAGAAGCAACTAAAAACTCACGGCAGCTAACTCACAAACAAGCAAACCAAACACCACAGCAAGCACACAGATAAAACCCAAGGATAATCAAGCAAGAAAACACTCACTCAATAAACACTCAATGAACTCACGCAGACACGGAAGAGAATAGAAGGAAGAAGACTCAAGCTGGAAACTCAGAGAGAATACGGAAGAAAGGCTTAGCCCGTCTGATAAGTTCACATTCAATAATAATAGTTTTTACAACAACACTCTCATTACAAAACAAGAGACCAACGTCTCTTTGAGAGACAAACTTTTAGTCAAAAGAGAAAAGTTGCCTGAGGACATCAACCGACATCATGCCTATAGGGTAAAACAAAATCCCCTATTGAGTTAATAAACTAAGCCAAGTCTAGCCGACAGCATGCTTACATGCTTTTACAAAATATGGATAAAGTTGGATTCCTTTGGCTTGGGTTAACTTTCAACATTGAATCTGATGGTTTCCCTGCTTGCTTTTTTTTTTTCTTTCCCTTTTTCATCTATTTAGTGAGTGCCCGGATATGTATTATGAACCTTCTCTATAAAAATAGGACTAGTCCTACCTACTCAATAAAACTGTGTATGAATGTTTGTGATGGTAAGTTGCAGTGCTTTGTTGATTGCCCTGTCTCTGCACTCTGCATTATGCCTCTTCTCCTAGAGTGAGTTAGATTAATCTCATCCGGAAATATGAACTATATGTTTCGAGATTAGGGAGACTTATTGACATGTGTGGTGTATGTGGGCTGTTGGACTAATCAACCAGCTTCCGGCCATTAATGCTCGTTCTACATCACGATTAAATCCACATAGCTGGAGTGGAGTCATGGAGACTTGACAGTAAGAGTACGATGCCTGAACAAATTAAACAAACCACAGCTCATTATGGAGCCCTACACAATGTTACAATGATGAAAATGGACAAGGACATAACTGCTAGTACCCATAATGCTAGTGCCAATTTATGCAAATTGGTTAAATGGTGAATCGGATGATTCGATGCTATTGAAGCTTACAAAGCTCACAAGTAATGCAACCTCTGTTCCATGTTACATTTGTTTTCCCCTTCAATTTCTTTATATCTCAGTCCCTTAGAGCATCCGCAATGATGCTCTCTATTTCTTAGCTAAAATTTAGCTAAAAATATAAGAAAGCTATTTTAGGAGCTCTCTAAAAAATTTCAACTCCAACCATACTCCCTAATTTGGAGAGTAATAAATGCTATAACTCTTTTTTGATTGGTCCATCTCTATTAAAAAATAAAAAAAATAGTTAGCATTAAATAAAGGTTTGAAATACTCATTAAATAAGGCAGCATTAAATTATAGAGAGCCACTAAGAGTCATTTCTCTCTCCTCAGATTTAGGAGCTCTTAGAGGACTCTCTATTTTAGGAGGTGGATAGGGAGCATGGTTGGAGTTGCATTTTTACAATTCCTCCCTAAAATTTGTCTAAGGAGGTGGTTTAAGGAGTCCATTGTGCTCTTACTGATAAAAACAATTACAATCTTATTGAGAAGGCCTAGTTCTATTCTTTTTGTTAAAACTAAGCCTCCCTACTTGATGGAACAAAAAAGAAACTTAAAGCTGGCACATTATCAAGTTCACATATAATTAGTAAAGACGAATTGGCAGCCGAGGTTCTGTGACTACAACAAGTGGGAACTTCCGATGTGTGACCAATCCATAAGATTCCTCCATGCCCAAATCTTCTGTTTTCACATTTCCAGGCAGTTTCCAGGTGAACCCATGTAACATGTTAGCCAAACAAGACCTTACCATTTTCAGTGCATGACCATAACCAGGGCACATCCTCCTTCCTGAACCAAATGGAAGCAGTTCAAAACTCTGTCCTTTCACATCAATTGCATTATTCCCTAAGAATCTCTCAGGCCTAAACTCATCTGGTGCATCCCACAGCGTAGGATCTCTCCCCATGCTCCATGTGTTCACAAGCACTAGAGTTCCTTTACAAACATCATAACCTGCCACATTGCAATCCTCAAGAGCTAAATGTGGTAGCAATACAACCACAGGGTGCTTCCTCATTGCCTCTTTCATAATAGCATCTATATAAGGAAGGTTTTCGAGGTCTTCCTCTTCTACCCATCTCTCTCTTCCAATCACTCTATCGAGCTCTTCAGTGGCCTTTTCGATGAGGTTTGGTTGTTTTATGAGTTCAGACATTGCCCATTCCAAAGTGGTAGCAGAGCTATCAGAGCCTCCAATTATCAAGTCCTGAGTGAATGCCTTGACAGTGTCATAGGTGAGCTTAACTTCAAGATCGTTAGGATCATCAACCAGCTGCAATAGTAAATCCACCGTGTCCTTTGCCACAAACTCCTCCACTCCTTCCTTCCTGGCCTTGTGTTCATTGAGCACAAACTCATAAAACCGGTCCAACTTTTTCTGTAAGGCCTTCATTCGCTTTACATAGCCTTGCAAGTCAAAAACATCTAGCCACGGTATCCAATCCCCTATATTGGCTACCGCATCAAGCAAGAGCAACTCATCTATCATGTCCTGAAATTCTTTGAGTGATATTATCGAACTCTTGGATTTGGTCAAGCTAAAATGGTCCTTACCCAACACAATTCTGCACATAACGCTAAGAGTTAGGCGTGACAGATGCTGTTTGAGCACAACTGCCTTCCCTGACATGGCATAGAGTCGCGAAATAAAAGCGAGATTTTCCTCAACCCGGATGTATCGAAAAGACTCTAGACTTTTTGAGCTAAAGAGCTCAGAGATGAAAATTTTGCGGCCTTGACGCCAATATGGACCATAAGGTGCATAAGTGACATTGAGGTGGCCATAATTGAGGTACTTGCCTGCTGCAGTTTGAGGCCTAGAGGCAAAGATGCGATCATGCGTCTTTAAAAATTGCTTTGCCATTTCTGGAGATGAGGCAACTACAACTGGGCAGGAGCCAAGCTTAACCTGCATTATTGGTCCATAAGTTTGGGACAACTTGTGAGCGGATTGATGAGGCAGAGGACCAACGAGGTTCAGGTTGCCTATTATAGGCCATGGTTTGGGACCTGGTGGAAGTTTTAGCTTCTGGGGTAGGGGAAAGAGAATTTTGGAGAGAAGGGCCAGAGCAACAAGCAGTGCAAGGGTTCAAAAAACTTAAAACAGCCAAAGAAAAAGAAGAAGCCTCCTCCATTGACATTGTTGTGTATGAAGGTTAAGGATATTGCAGGTAATTTATAGTTGAAGAAGTAGCTAGGTATGTCGTCGGGTCGGCTATGATATTTCTATCTTTACTCAAAGTGTGAAAAGTAGGGAAGTTAATTAGTACCTATGTACAGATGCCCCACCCCACGCATGTTGCAATTATTCATAGAAGAAGCCTCCATTGTGTATAGGTTGAGAAGTGCGGCCTTCACTGATATTGCAGGTAATTTATAGTTCAAGTAGGTATGTGGGCTATGATATTTCTTAACCTTTGTTTTAAATTTGATTTAGTGATACAGGAATGACTTGAGTTAAGTTAGTGAATATCATCATCAATCACCATTCATTTGTGTTTTACTCTGTTGAAAATACTAATGCCCATTTGTGACAAAAAGATCCAAAAGGTTCTAGAAGAATCATTAATATGACTAACTTGGTGGAAGAGCCTAAACTATTGGAGAAGCTTACATGTCGGCAAAACCAATGTGAACCTTGGAGAATTATCTAGAGAAAGCCACACACTGTGGCTGGAGTAAAATCATTTTGTTCCAACTATTGTCTATTGTCCTAAACCCTTCACCTCCTATAAATTCCAACACATTCTAACATTAATCTCGTTTCAGTTCTGAGAATAGGCATAGAAATGCAGCATTGTCTTGTCAATCACACTTAAAGTTACTCCGACAGATGCCCCATACCACACATGCTGCCATTATGGTCTCTAGCTCTTGAATTCATGGTGGGATGGTTGGCTGCTTTGCTTGAGATATTTCCATTTGGGGAATGAAGAAGAGAAAGCATGAATATCAATTATTTTTAGACCCTTACCTTATAACTGTTGAAATTAATGCACATTTATGCTAAAGAAATGTGTGGAAAAATCTAGAAGCTTTGAGATAAGCCTAAACTATTGGAGAATTATCTAGAGAAAGCCACACATTTATGGAGTAAAGAGATCAAGTTGGTGGAAGAATCTAGAGTTGTGGAGAAAAGAATAAGGAGGTGGAACAAAAAGCAATTGAAGTTTGAAGAACTTTCTAGAAGAAGAACATCGTGTTGCATCATGGCTAAACAATAGCCACAAAAATAAATATTGTAAAATATAGAAGTTTCTAGTAAAAGCTACATACTTGGTGATGTAGGCAAAGAATGCCTATAAATAGGCATGCAACCACAATGAAATGTGGAGTGAACCAATCAACTCCCAATCCATGTGGGAGTAAAGAAGCAAACTCCCAAACTATAAGGGAGCCAAGAGCTACCCAAAGGAAGCTATGTTGAGAGCCAATAAGCTCACCAATCTAAGTGTAGGGCCAAATAGCCCAAACTATTCTAAATCAAGTGTGGTGGCCAATAAGCCAAAATAAGCTAAGAAGAAGGCCGATTAGCCTACACTCACCTATTTACTATTCTCCTCCAATCTAATAAAATCACTTTGTTTCCCCTACAAACCAACAAGTGGTATCGTAACACACACATCACACCCCCTCAAACTAACATGGTATCAGAGCAACACACATCACACACCTCCTCAATTCCAACAATAACAAGTCGACATCAGTGATTTTTGATGCATTTTGATGAGTTTTTGTTCCACCTGAATGTCTGTCTGGCTCTCCAACAACAGAGAGGATCAAGGTTGTTTCATGTTGCAAATTTGCCCTAGATGTCAATGCTGCATATTTTCAGATGATTCACGATTTACGCCACATAGCCGGAGCCATGGAGACTTAAGTTAACAGTGAGTGGAGCAATGAGCACAGAAGAATGGCTGAACAAATGAAATAAACCACAGCACATTATGGAGCTCCACAGGATGATTGGGTAGATGGGTGGGTGGAAGAGATCATGGAACTTGTCACATGTGCCACACTTACGTCCCAATTCAGATTTCAGTCCCTCTTTGATAAAAACGAATTACAACTTATTGAGTAGAAGTTATTTTTTTGTGAAAACTAAGCCTCCCTACTTGATCAAAATATATATTGGCAGACTACATAGATGGAACTAAAAGGAAATTTAAAGCTGGCACGATTTACAGAGTTTTTTTATTTTTTATTTTCTATTGTTGATACTGGCGATATGTTGATGAGGAGGGATTTGAACATAGTACCTTGGGTGCAACCTGCAGATTCAAATATAGTTAATAAAGATTGATTGGCAGCCGAGGTTCTGTGACCGCAACAAGTGGGAACTTCCGAGGTGTGACCAATCCATAAACCTCCTCCATGCCCAAATCTTCAACTTTCACATTTTCAGGCAGTTTCCAGTTAAACCCATGTAACATGTTAGCCAAACAAGACCCTATCATTTTCAGTCCAAGACTATAACCAGGGCACATCCTCCTTCCTGAACCAAATGGCAAGATCTCAAAACTCTGTCCCTTCACATCAATTGCCTTCCCTAAGAACCTCTCAGGCCTAAACTCATCTGGTGCATCCCACAGTGTGGGGTCTCTTCCCATGCTCCATGTGTTCACAAACACTAGAGTCCCTTTACAAACATCATAACCTGCCACATTGCAATCTTCAAGAGCTAGATGTGGTGCTAGCATTACAACCACAGGGTGCTTCCTCATGGTCTCTTTCATAATTGCATCTATATAAGGAAGGTTTTCGAGGTCTTTCTCTTCTACCCACCTCTCCTTCCCAATCACTCTGTCAAGCTCTTCTGTTGCCTTTTCGATCAGGTTTGGTTGTTTTATGAGCTCAGACATTGCCCATTCCAAAAGGGAAGCAGAGGTATCAGTGCCTCCAGCTATCAAGTCCTGATTTTAATTTGGATGAACAAAATTAATAAGCCACATGAACAATTTTGTGTAAAGCTTTATGATGTGTTTTTAGATCTACATAAGTTTTATATAGAAATGTTCTCTTGCCATACTGCATAACGTGCGGACCAAATTGACTGTATGGCAAGAGAACATTGCAGTAATCTTACGAAATTTAATAAGTGAACATGATTTTGGAAGCATATACCTGAGTGAATGCCTTGATACTGTCATAGGTGAGCTTAACTTCAAGATCATTAGGATCATCAACCAGCTGCAATAGTAAATCCACCATGTCCTTTGCCACAAACTCCTTCACTCCTTCCTTCCTGGCCTTGTGTTCATGGAGCACAAACTCATAAAACCGGTCCATTTTTTTCTCTACGGCCTTCATTCGCTTTGCATAACCTTGCAAGTCCAAAAAATCAAGCCATGGTATCCAATCCCCTATATTGGATACCCCTTGAAGCAAGAACAACTCATCTAACATGTCCTGAAATTCTTTGAGTGACATTATCGAACTCTCGAATTCGGTTGAGCTAAAATACTCCTTCCCCAACACAATTCTGCTCATAATGCTAAGATTTAGGCGTGACACATGCTCTTTGAGCACAACTGCCTTCCCCGACAAGGCATAGAGTCGCGAAGCAAAAGCGCGATTTTCCTCAACCCGAATGTATTGAAAAGACTCTAGTCTTTTGGAGCTAAACAGCTCCGTGAGAAAAATTTTGCGGCCTTGACGCCAATATGGACCATAAGGTGCCCAGGTGACATTGTGGTAGTCATAAGTGAGGTACTTGCCTGCAGCAGTTTGAGGCCTAGAGGCAAAGATGTGATCATGTGTCTTTAAAAATTGTTTTGTCATTTCTGGAGATGAGGCAACAACAACTGGGTAGGAGCCAAACTTAAGCTGCATTACTGGTCCGTAAGTTTGGGACAATTTGTGAAGGGATTGATGAGGCAGAGGACCAAGGAGATTGAGGTTGCCAATTATAGGCCATGGTTTTGGACCTGGTGGAAGTTTTGGGCGTTTGGCTAATAGAATTTTGGAGAGAAGGGCCAGAGCGGCTAGCAATGCAAGGGCTAAAACAGCCAAAGAAGAAGAAGCCTCCATTGTGTGAAGGTTGAGAAGTGCAGTGTTGACTGATATTGCAGGTAATTTATAGTTGAAGGAGCTAAGTGGGTTATGATATTTCTTAACCTTTTTTGTTTGATTTGGTGAGACACGAATGATTCGAGTAATTGAAGAGATCATCATCAGTATTAAAAAATATATATATTATCCTCCCAAGACCTTTATGTGCTGTGTGGTCCCTACATCACCGTCCCTTTGTTTTTTATTCACACAATAATCTCGTGCAAAATTTGATCCAAAAATAAATAAATAAAGGGTTCATGTAAGAGCATCCACAGTGGGGGTGTAAATTCGGGGGTGTAAAGTCACTTTTACATCCCTTTTACACCTCCGGGGGGTGTAAATATGTTTTTTGCTCCAGTGGGAGGTGTAAATTCGAGGGTGTAGCCGTGGGTCCCAGCCTTTTATGTTGACTTTTCTTCATTTTTCTTCTCTTTTCTCGGGTGGGTCCCACCTGCAAGAGATGTAAAAATGGATGTAAATATACATTTTATTTTACATCCCCATGGTGGTGATGTATATTTACATCCATTTACATCTCACCATTGGAGACCATTCCGGTGACTCGGGGTGTATATTTAATATACACCCCCCACTGTGGATGCTCTAAGCAAACAAAACCTTAACCTCATGCAAGCAAAAAAACAGGCTCATTGAGTGCCCAACAGCCATACATGTAAATCTCATATTGGATTGGATTTTTAAGCGGTCATGGATTTTTGTATAAGGAAAGAGAACCATGCAATGCAACCTAATGTGGTGATCTTTTGGAATTCTAGGTGACTAAATTATGAAAAATATCGACATGTAAGGTGTGTGTGTTGACAATAACTATACAGTGTCGGATCAACACAACATGATTTATTCTATAATATAAATCATTACCAATGCTTAGATTTTGTGATCAAACTTTATCATATGTTGCCACATATCAATTAGGTATCCAGAAAATGAACAGGCAGCCAAAAGACAATTGATGGTACTCGCACAGAGGTAAAACCACCACAGCTGATGTCCCAGCAAATCAAACAGACAACC